TGACTAGGAAGTATAGGAGTTCTAGTACAACATCTGGAGTCCCAAGATAAAAGAAAAAGAACACTGCCTAGAGGAGTGGTGGGCCCTCCTTCACTTGAGGTCTTCAGGAAGAGGCTGGATGGCCATCTGATGGGGACAGTAGCACCCTTGCGATGGGGCAAAGCTGCCCTCCTCACACTGGCAATGCTGCAACTTGTCTGGATGGCGATGTGGCAGGGTAGAACAAGGCTGATGAATGGGTGCACCGAAGGGAGTATCAGATTGTCTCAGCCAACACACCCACTCAGCTCTGATGTCCTGCCCCACCTATGTAAGCTGCAGTCACTTTGATGTCATGAAGACATCTCTGCCCCACTCCACAGCCTGCTACCTGTTTTGGAGTGCTCTCACTTTGGATATGAGTGGGAGGTTGGGTTAGGTGACCCACAAGGCGCCCTCCAACTTCTATCTAAGTCCCAGTGGGGGAAGTTCCTGATCCCAAGAGGAGCTTCATATGCTCAGTGATTCACATCCTCAGTGTGATTGTGTAGGCTGGTTCCCACAACAACTACATTTGGTTGAAAGTGGATTTGCGCTTTTTTTTTTTTATGTAAATGCTTTGGCATGTGACCCTTAAAGCAGTTTCCGAACAAACCACAGTGGCTGATCCAACAGAGGACTGTGAGAATCACATTGTGAAGTCTGTTTTTAACTTAATCTTGTGGGTTTCCTCCCCCACTGCATCCCGTGACGTCAATTATTATTTTGATATTGTAACAAAATTCAGCGAGTGCTGGGAGTTGTATGTCCACATATGAGAAAGTTGAGTTTGGTCCAATGGACTTTTATTAGTGTTTTAAAATGAAAACGGTTGTGAACTAATGAGTTCCCTTGGTACAGCTGGCAATGGGAAAAAAATATTCAGATGTTTATGGCTCAACACAAAGCATTGCTGACCTCTGTGAGCACAGATGAATAGTATTATTAGAAGCTCTGAAAATCCTGCCCTACAGAGATGCTTCTCATAAATTTTAAGGCTATATTTATCAAAGAATAGTATATGCTGCATCCGTGCTTGTTGCAGTTCTCTAGGATCTTACAGATGCTGGGTTGCTTTTGTTTTGTAGATATACATATGCTAATTCAGTGAGTGTAATCCAGATGTCATCCTCTTCATAAATACTTCCACTCCAGGAGAATGGCAGTTTCCCAGCACCAAAAGTTTGCGAGAAACAATGGACCATATTCAACTATACAGTTTTGCTAGTGGGAGCCTGTGCAAGAAGTTCTACTAGAGCAACTGGCGCTTTCTTGCTCTCCTTCTCCCAGGTACACCCCCCCCCCATCATCTCTGTGGGGTTGGGAGATTCCCCATAGCAGTGTCAGGGGGGAGGGAAAGCGAGATTGTGGAAATACTTGCGCTGGTGGAGCAGATGCAATACTGCGACATTGAATCTCACCTACAGATTCTTGCTATGGTAAACACAACAAAATTGTGAGTATTGAAGCAGTGGAATAGCACTTGTGTCCTAGCCTCTTATCAGGCAGTGCCTCTGACATCACTGCAAGAAGCATCATAAGCCTTCTTACTGGAGCCATTTTAAAAAACACATCATCATTTCAGAACACATTTTTGCTTCCCCCTCGCTACTCTTACCACTCAAGGATCTGTGCCTAGAGTTTAGACCTATCTTTTATGCAGGTTTAGAAGCCCCTCTCAAAGTGATTTCTTGTTTTGCCTTATGAGCAGTATAATTTTAAAAGCTTTTAAGTATTTGAATCTGTGATAACTTGTAATTGAGTAGAGTGTTAGACTGTCCTATATTCTTTAAATAAATAAATAAATAAATAAATTCATGTTTTGTAATATTTGTATTATTTACTCTTTTGTAAGTAGTCTTGGGAATGTCAAGTGGCCCTTGAGGGTGAGATATAAATGTCAGAAATAACTAAAGTGTGATTAGACTAATCTACCTGGAACTAAGTGTAGTTACCCAGAACTCATGAATCGAAATAAAAATTGCAAGCACTTAATAGTTTAACTCCAGCGATCTTATTGTCGTAATAGTATGCACATTGCATAAACTTCTTAATTATTATTTTTTTACAATCCAAAGTGATTATTGTAATGTCCACTAGATTGTATGCCATGATACTGACTCATTATCTGAGTGCCTGTATAGCTAAAACATCCTTGCACAAGAGTGGAAGTATCAGCAGGTTTATTAAAATGGAGAAGTGGAGGGGAATGGTAATGGAATGACTGGTTTAGTTGGATTCAGGAGCAGGAGCTCTCCGCATTGCAACATTTTGTTCTACGGCCCACTAGTGACTAGTCATTTAGATATCACATATAAGGAAAGGCAGAAGAGAAACTCGGCTTTGTAGAAAGTGCTTGAACAACCATTTCTGTAATTTTATTTCCATGTATTATTTATTTGCATGGAGACCTGTAGTTGCTGTTAAATTCTTTTTACTGTTAACCCATGTCTCTATTGTGTCATCCTAGTTTACCACCTTGCCAACTGAGCTCCATTTTTACAGTGCATACCATTTTCACTTAAACCAGATTTCCCCCACATATCAATCAACTGTAAAATGTTGGTTATTGCTAGAATGCAATTTCAGTCATGTAATATTGTAATTTTTTTTGCTTTCTATGCCTTGTTAACAATATTAACAAGTAGCATATTCCAGACTAAAAGCGTTCTTAATGACACACTATGGAAAATGTCCTGAACCTGAACTCGAAGGATCAGGAAACAATACAAGGAATCTTTAATATTTATAATTCGAGAACTTGTCAGTCTGCTAAATCCTGTTTGACATTGCTCTGTTGCCTTGTAGGTTGACAATCTATTGCTCAACTATTTCTTGTAAGTGTCGGTGAGGTTGTAAGGTGAAATAGTTTGGACATGATGCTTGAATGCTGAGAATGTCGCATTGAGTAGTTTTGTTGTAGCACAGGGGTTGGCAAAGTACGGTTCGTGGGCTGGATCAGGCCCGCGAGGGTCGTTAACTCGGCCTGGCCGCTGTCTGAGCTCCTTGGGAAAAAAGACAAAAAAGAGCGAAGCTGCCATGCGTTTTCACACAAAGTCCTCCTTCAGGAGGTGCAGGAGGAGGAAAAGGAGGCAGAGTTGCCCCTGGTGGGAAAAGAGGCACCATCCAGGGTGGGGGAGGAGGCGATTTATGGGGGGAGGGAAAAGAGAGAGGGTGGGGAGAACAGGCAGGAGCTCCCCTTGCTGGCTATGTGGCAGCGATCTGTCTCCACTGCTGGCAGGAGGGCCCCCCATCCCACCCCCGAAGTGTGGAAGAGGTGCCAGCAGCAGGAGGCCCAGCAGGCCACAACACAGCACCAAACCCAGGTGATGACCCTCCCCCCATCCAAACAATGACTATCATCAGTGCAGGTAAGAAAAAAATTATTTTTAATTTTTATCATCTACAATACTGCCTGGCCTGCCTGGTGCTCTTGCATGGAATGTGTCCTTTTAAAATGCATCTGTGGGTTATTTGTGGGGCCTGCCTGGTGTGGATATTGTGCATAGGAATTCGTTCATTCCCCCCCCCCCAGAAATATAGTCCGGCCCCCCACAAGGTCTTAGGGACAGTGGACCGGCCCCCTGCTGAAAATGTTTGCTAACCTGTGTTGTAGCATCAAAGGACTAAGTGGTAGTTTTGAAATGCCTGTAATAAATACATACTCAGAAATATAGAATAATGGAAAAATTTGAGATTATTATTGTTATTATTAAGAACTTTATTGAAAATTTTAAAACCAGTTACCAAACACAGTGTTGTCTTCCAATACAAATACATATTCAGGTGTTAAGTCCTGTATGCAGTCAATTCTATATGTTACATAACCATATTCTATATAACAATTGCAGTGGAAGTTTCAGCTGGGCAAGGGGGTAAAATTTCTGTGGCAAAATATCATTTTTTTATGTTGACAACAACCACAGCAACAACACCCTTCCTTAGGGAAAAACATAGCTCCCCTGATATGGTCATTGAATTGGTGTGTATGGAGCAGCCTTCCTTTCAGCTAAAATGCAGTATTTCCAGATTGTACAGTGTTAGGTCTGTTATTATCAGTGAGTGAATCACTGATCTCTTGGTTTTATAACTGATTTGCATACTACAATCTCTTGCATTCAAAACAGATAATTAAGATGACAAGGCATGGATTGCAAAACATTTTAATATGGGTAATCAACTTATTTCCACATCCCACGCACTTTTCCAGTAAGGTTTTAGACAATAAAATCAGAGAGCCAACACTTCCTGGAATTTGAAAGCACATTTGAAATATAATTCCTCTTGTTATATATAAAAAATTCAGAGTTGCATACACATTTCGGACTCTTCTGCTGTCCCACTATGTCAGCAGAGCAATTTGTGTGTTTTATATCTCAACAAACCTTATTAACAATATAGGTTGAGATATAAAAGTTCAGCTAGTAAGTTCCAGGGCTTTACAGTGATTCAGAGTCAACGTTTCTGACTAAGACCCGTAGCAATCCATTGCAGCTGGGACTCCCCAGGACATGTTGGGTTTTATTTAATGCAAGTGTAGCTATATAGACAGATGTAATGGAAAACACGTGTCCAATCTCTCCCTTGCATAATTTTATCACAATTAAACCACCTCCCTGAATTTTATTGTTATTTTTTTTTAAAAAAATACTTCTTTCATTTGTATTTTTAAGAACTGACAGACAGGGCGAGGCGAGGGGAGTGAGAGAACAAAAATCACATCTCCTCCTTTAAATGCCCATGACCGCTTCCGGCAAACTGTGAGGAGAAAAACTGCGCGCGCCCGCGCGCGCCCATCTGGAAAGCGTAGGGGGCGGGAAATGAAGGGCGATTGCCAGCCTCCTGGTGGAGAAACGTACCGGCTTGGAGAAACGTACTTGGAAACGTCGGAAAGAGAGCTCTGATTGGCCGCGTCGGAAGTCAACGAAAAAGAAAGATTGGTAGGATGAAGGGCATGACGGGGGTGGGAGAGAATCGCTCGGCGGCGGCGTCGCGAGCCGGAGCACGCCGGCGGTGTGGGCGGAGCCTGCGCGAACCCCGCCTTCCCTCCCTCGGTCGCTCCCTCCCCTCCCTTAAAGCACCAGCCCGTCCTCCGCGAGGGCCGCATAATAGCGGCGGCGCCTCAGGAGGTGCTTTGTGGTGCCGTCGGGGAGAGAGAGGGAGCGTGCTCCGCCAAACCCGCCACCCCCTCTCTCCTCCTCCTCGTTTCCTCCCTCGTCGCCTCAGCTGGCCCTGTGGCTGGATGCGGCTGAGCTCGGGCTCCCAGCCTCCGCGCCCCTGCCGCTGTTCGTGAGCCCGGCGCGGTCCAGACGGAGTCCCGGGCGCCGCCGCGATGTTTGACAAGACGAGGCTCCCTTATGTGGCGCTGGATTTGGTGTGCCTGATACTGGGTACGTCTCGGCCGGCCGGCCGCCCTGAGGGGAAGGGGAAAGGGGAGGAGGGAGGCGGCTGCGGGGAAAGGGAGGCTTGACGCCGGGGATGCTCCTTCGCTACGCGCTTCTTTTCCCTCTCCCGTCCCCCCCCCCCTTCACACAACACCCTTGTTGCTGCTTTTTTGCGAGCTGCTTTGCGAACTACGCCTGAGAGCAGCATTCGCATATGTACATATATCCCGTACCTATATTGATATCCGGTGTGTGGAGTTTCACATGCGGTAGGAAAAAAAACCTCGCGTTTAATACGCGCTTGAAATATGGGTGCGTGTGAACATACATACATATGCGATACGTGTGTCCTGGTCTGCTTGGCTTCCATTGCATGTCAAGGGGCTAAGCTTCGCTTTTCCCACCTCCCGCCGCCAAGGCTGTGAGGAAGGCTTGGAAAAAGAGGGCGGTGGGGCAGTGGGCTGCAAATACCATACTTGCTTCCCCCATGTGCTCTGCCATCTTCCCCGCTTGCCATCACATTTTATTGTCACTGCTCTTTTCTCTGTGCTTCTTCCATCCCTAAACTCACCTAAATTCGGAGGTCAACCCCCAATTGTCTCACCTGAAGAAACTTGGTCACTGCAGCTTCTTCTGTCCATAGCAGGATTGTGTAGAGTGGACTGATGTAAGAATTGGTTTGAATCACTAGTGCACACCGAAAATTAAGAAACCTGCCTCTGTACACTGATAGTAGGTAGGACAGCGCTGGTAGGGTTTGTTGTCATGAAGCTGAAGTTTACTGGAAAACTGATGATATCATTTCCCTCCTATCTGGACAGGCTTGTATTTTTTTAAAAAAAGGAATAGCCGTGAACAGTTGTTCAGGTTGTTGATGTAAAAAAATGAAGATTTCCTTGATCACCGCGTCCAGCATTCTTTTCTATAGCTGCTGTTTGTCATCCTTACAAGCTGTGAAGAAATAGGTCTTCCCATTTCGGTCACAAGATGTGAACACTCATTTCTAGGCTTTATTTTCTGAATATTATTTTCCCTTTTTCTGATCAAATGAGGAAATGAATATCCATTAGATTAGAGAGCTAACTGGAAAAAAGTGAGTAGTGTGCAGGTTTTCTTTTCTCAAGAATGGTAAGATTTCTTACCATTTTGTATTAGGCAGTTTTATGTTGTGTGGCCTTAGAGAGCCTTGTTATGATAAAGATTGTGACTTAAATGTAATTTTGGTACTAAATGATCAATTGCCTTTATAGCTAAATGTTTAAAGACTTTACCTTGGCAAGTGGTACTCTTAGTTTGCTAGACACTCGTCATTTAATTACTAGGAATGATGACTGATATCTATAGTTGATGAGCACTGGCAGTTTGACCAATTCTAAACATACAGATTAAACTACAGTAGTTGAAAATTTGTCACAATGCAAGAAGAGAGAGTGAGGGAACTTCTTGCTGTGTCTATTCTGGCATTTTAATTGAAAGAATGAGGGAATTTCTGTGCAATTGTCTTGTGTCAAAGTTAACATAAGATCTTGTATATTTGAAATCCTTTCCAATTCTGACAGCAGGCAGCAAAGAGGCAACAGGCCAATTTCAGTGTGACCATTTTTCTGCATGGGAGAATATATGAGAAAAATCTGTACCTCTGAATACTGTAAGCGAAAAACCTGCAAAGAGGAGTGAACAGGAAACTAGTATCCTGTTTGTGGCATGCTGTTATAAAATCCATGCAGGTTTCTTTCTTTTGCTAATAAATTATATTGCTAGTGGTTATGCATTTGAAAGGCCTTGGTTTTTACCATGAACCCAGTAGTTTGTTTAAGGCTAGTTTGTACACCGCTTAGGGAGTGGTTTATAAATCTTCTAAATAAAAATTCAATCTCAGATCTCCATCTTTTTTATATTGACCTACCTTACAGAGTTACTGTAATACTTTCAAGTTCATGTATATGTGAAGCTTCTTGAATTAAGTGCTATACAAATGCTTTATAGTAATAATGATATACATTTCTCCCAATGGAGAAAAGTTTCTGGAACTGGTTTTATATCTGCCAGCTAATGCATCTGAATAAAAAAAGGATGCATGCAGCATCTTTTTTTCTTTTTTTTTTAGTACATGCTCCTTACTTGAATACAGTGTATAGTTCATGGATGACCATTTAACTGAAAAAGGGAGAGTTCATGTGTGGTTTTCTTCAGGTTCAGTGGCGTTCAACATTTGGATGAAATAGTTGATACTTCCAGAAGCTCAATTCAGATATGTCAAGCCATGTTTAAGCAAGTTGAACAGTTGTTGGCAGGGCATAAGCAATGGCTTCTGATGAGCTAGCAAACTAGAACTGGACAACATGGAAAACATGAACCAGGGTTTGTGATAACGAAGATTGCATTTCCCCAAATATAGCCAAAGAGAAGCCCCAGCAGCAAAGAGTGGGCAGAAGGTAATACAGTAATTCTTTGCAAGCTGCAAACCTGAGATTCCAAGGGATTATACTGCAGCAAAATTAATAATTTACCTATGTATACTTGAGGTTACGGTGGGTGATTTGATAATTATATCTCAAGCGGTGATGTCAGTTGTATCATGCATCATTCTGTTTCAAGCATCAAAGGTGGTGACAGTGCTGTAGATTATCTCTCATGTCTTACGAAGTGAAATGGTAGCTCCTATTGGGTGGCACCACTATACAGGTGACACCCAGCTGTATTTCTTCTTGTCATCAGAATCAGGTGAGGTCATGCAGGTGCTGGACTAGTAGTCTCTGATCACTGTAATAGGTTGGTTGAGGGTGTATAAATTAAAACGGAATCCTGATAATACAGATGCTTTAGTTTGGTGGTTCCTGGCTCCAGGAATTATGTGAATGACCTGTTCTTGACAGTGCTGCTCTCTGCTTGAAAGAACAAGTGTGTAGGTTGGGAGTGTGTGTGCTCACGCACTGTTGGATTCTACCATGTGACACTACATTGCAGCAGCAGCATGGAATGCTTTCCCCTAGCTATGGCTTTTTCTGCATAGGGATACACTGGCCACAGTAATCCTTGCTGTTAATAATGTCTCATTTGGATTACTGTAATGCTGTCTACTTGGGGCTGTTCTTGAAGATGACCTGGAAACTCCAAGTAGTGCAAAATGAAGTGGCTTAACTTCTGAGTGGAGTTCCCACATCTGTTTTTAAAAGATCTGCACAGGCTGCCAATACATTCCCAGTCTCAATTTTAAGGTGTTACAGATGACTCATAAAGCCCTGAATGGTTTGGTATCTAAATACTTGAAAAAGAACTTCTCCCTATATAGTCCTAATTTACCAGGGTTGCTCTCCTTATCGTCCTGCTTGTGGGAGCTTTATAACTTGAGCTGACTTGAGGTGGTTCCCCTGCCTTGGATCTCTTTGCTTTATGAAATATTGCTAGAACATTCACTGCTGTTATTTCAGTCTGAGCTTAAAACCTGATATATTTGGATTACAGAAAAATTGAATTTTTACCTTCTTTTGTGATTTTATTGATGCTGAAAGGGTTATTTGGCTGAATTTGGTGTTACCCTGCCCTGAGATATTCAGATTAAGGGCAGGATATAAATAGCCTAGCTATTGGTCTAATACCTGACCTGCTTCTTACATTACTTAATTTCAGAGACATGAAATAGCAGGATACCTATTTCTGTGTGCTCAAGAATACTGAATGGTTTTTTGTTGTTGTTTTTTACAAGAGTGGTTATGATGTTAATTCAAGAGAGTGGTAAGAGACAAAGAGCATAATAACATAAGAAGTGTTCGTTGAATCAGACCAAAGACCTACCTCATCCTGCATCCTGGTCCTCATAGTTGCCAGTCACCCTGTGGCATGACTTTCATGTAGTAGCTTGTAGGTGTGCATGAAATTCTTGTTGCTTGTCTGCCAGGCTCTCTATATTTTGGCTGCTGCCAGCAGGAATCTGATAGGGTGAAACCAGTGGGAGATCTGTGGTTGGTCCAAAGGGAAAGATTTTTAAAGACAGGATTGGTTAAATCACTTAGGGATTTTTGCGTTCTACAGGTTTGGAGTTCACTTTTGTGTTAGCCTCCGTCTTTAAACATTGTGGATATTTTGTATTGCAATCTCAGATTTTAAGTATACTCTTACCTTTGGTAAGTAGAAGTAATGTAGGGCAGGTTCCACCAGGAATTACTCCAATTAAAAACTGATTATGGTAGGACTGCATTTATTTTGTGTAGTTCTCAGTTAAAGGAGACCTTTGGCCAAAAAATATTCTGTTGGGTTGTGCTCCATGTTCATATTCTGTCATCCAACACCCAATCACAATGTATTTTCCTTTCTGGAGATTTCCCCCCAAATATGCCTTAGTTGTTTGAGCTTGTTCCCTGGGTCAGGGACTGGCAGATTTCAGGTTTGCAGGATGTGCTGTGTCTGCGTCTTTCTTGTCTGTGTGTCTGTTTTTACTAGAACTTTCAAGATCCACCAACCACACCCAAGCGCTAGGTAATGGGTTGTGTTGTGTTGTGTGTGTGGACATATATTTATGGGGGAAAGCCTTTTAGTTGTTGTTGGTGGTGGTGTTTTTTAAAAATACTGGGACTCAGAAACCCTTGCTGATCTTACTGATAATCACCCATAGATCTACCAGTACATGCTGAACTGCCTTTTGATTACCCTTGGTCTGAGTAATCAAAAATCAATGCTGCTTATTCTGTGTTTTTAAATGGTATGTTCTTAATTGGAACATGTGGAAGTGGCTAATAACATTTGTGTGGATATCACCCATTAGGGCCATGTGTTAGGAAAGCTGTTTGATCAGCTTCAGCCTCTCTACCTTGAAGTCTGGCCCTTTGGATTATTCAAATTGCATGCAAAATGTGTTATCTGCTGCCTTGTGGGGCATCTTTGGGAGAAGAAAAGGCTAAGAGTAAACTCTACACAAATCCGGAGTAGAGTTTTGAAGGCGGTTGGATGTCTTGTACGCCTCCTTCCAGCAACTCCTGCAGCCAAGCTGGTGCCAAATGTATTGCTTT